TCTTTTATTTAAGAATCATAAATAATTTACAGAACAATAGTTTTGACTGATATGAAATCTAGCAGGAAATCTTGCAATGTTGAACACCCCCCACAAGACACACACACACACACACACTGAGTCTCGAAGCCCACCCGCCGCGTGTGCATGTGAGTGCACGCATGCTGTTTTTCAAGGTGTAAATATAAACATTTGCACGTATTTCTTAATACTTCAGTATTTAGAGCAATTAAATCAAATCATTTAAACGGCTGTTTTATTAGCTGTGGCTAATTAAAACGTCCCACAAACATATTTCATTTTAGTGTCACTCATCCTAATATGACGAATTGAAGAGGATGTGTGTAGTCTTATCAACAATATGAAATGCAAGAGATCTCTGAGACGAAAGAGGGAAATTTAGTTCATCTGACACCAATTAATGCCACATTGGCCTAGATATCATTATAGGGGCTAAAATAAACACTTTCAATGTGGACTTTTTTTTAACCAGATGGCGTTAGAAGGCCTAGGCCCACCGTCTGCAATGTGCCCATCATTATCCATCCACCTGTAGCATCGAGGCTTCTGCTTCTGGACATGAAAACGTTTTTTCTGAACATGAAACCTTTTTTCACAACAGTGTTTTTGAAAAACCTGCCGTACTTCTCTCAGCCGTGTCGTGTCAGTTTTTATTATTATTACTATTATTATGTTGTTAATAATTTTCTGCATGTTATTAAAACTGCACTGTTCTGACTTGTCACGTTTAAAAGAAATAAACTGTGCACTCAGGTCCTCAGTTTTGACATCAAAATCCGTTTGTGCTTTTTTTTTTTTTTTTTTTTTTTGGTTTGTCAGATCGTTACTGGCCCCATTGTTACGCACAGGAAAAAAAAACTAATTCGTATAAATTATCTGCACTTCACCCGAACTATAATGATCACATGTGGATTTAGAGAAACCCGTCTCCCTCAATACGACGTAATTTAAACCATTAGAGCTAAACCACTAGTTTTAAAGTCATAATTATTGCCAAACAACCATTTAGCATCGTTTGCGATTGCGACGGTTTTGATTCTGTGTCCCTCGGATATTGTCATGTTTAAAAAAACCACTGCTTTAATTACTCTTTAGATCGCCTAGAAGACTGCGCTGACTAGACTTTGATTCTTCTTTATATGAAATGATTTTCTTAGTGAAATGACTTTCTTCGTCTTAGTGTATTTGTGAGTAAGCGGATTCGACTTGGAAAAAGGAGTTTCAACATGTGGTGATAACCTCTTCAAAGAGGAGAGCGTTTCAACGGGTCAGCACAATATCATTAAATTCCATTTCTTTTTTCTTTCTTCTTTTTTATTTTATTTTTTTTTTAGCAAAACAGACATAAAAATAAAACGCTCTTGAACTGAGTGAAGGGCTGTCTTCCACAAGAGAAGCCCCATCCTGTATGGCTCTCTTATTAGCTTTTCAGAAGCAATAAAGCCTCACATCAAACTTGATCTTTCAAGCAGAGGAACAAGGTTCGAAACATAAATTGCAATTACTTTATGAAAACAGCAAAATATAGCTTTTTTTCTAGTTAAATGCACAAGAAAAAGTTTGAGTTTTGTGAAAACTGATTTCATATTAATAAAGATGGTTATTAAAAGTAAATATGCCTCTTATCTTTGCATGTGATAGAAACATTTCATTATCTAACGTTTCCTCTGTGTTACATGAAGGGGAGAATGTTTCACTGTCTGGGCCAGTGGAATATAGATGCACTTTGACAACAATCAGTGCCTCATGATTCACTGGTTTGATTCACCTTTGAGTCCAAAACATATCATTTCAGTGTGTTTTTAATCTCATCTAAGCTTCCTGTGTCCACTTCTCTGGAAAATAGTGCAGCATCTGACATTATAGACCCATCTCTGCCTCCCATCTAAAGCTGACAAAAAGAGAAGTATGGACAAGCACTTTTATTGGCCAAGTATGTTACACACAAGGAATTTGTCTCAGGTACAGAACTGAGGCAGCCATCGGCGGCACCGACTCACACACACACACCAAGGATGGCACGGTCCCTACAAAGTTCTGCTTTGGCCATCAGGAGCAACTTGGGGTTCCATGTCTCGCCCAAGGACACTTCAACAGGTGGACTGGGGAGAACAGGAACCGAACTACTGAGCTTATGGTTGGGGATGACCGCTCCACCTCCTGAGCCACAGCCACCCCTTAAGAAGTATAATATGAAGGGGCTTTTTACAAGTGTAACATTTTTAACCATATAGCAGAAACTGTGGAGAATGTAGGCAAAGCTTTGCATCCAACAAAGAACAGTGGATGGGTTTGATATCAAAAGATGAAACTGCTGGAATAATGAATGTTTTTAATGGATTCTTTATTTTAAAAAAAAGTGTAATTTAATTCATTAGTGTGGTGAATAATTAATTTTACATGTGTAATTTTACAGTGTATAGCACATCTCTGGAGTTAATTGTGCCTAATTGTGTGTGTCCTGGAATTTGTGCGATCATCATAGTTGTCTTTTTGTCTGTGCCTCCATGTGCCCATGTGCCAATGCGAGTGTGTGCCCATATGTGGGTGTATGAGTGCTCCACTGTTACTCTGTGCCTGTGTGCCCATGTGTGTTGTATGCAGCCTATTAGTGGAGTTTAACCCCTGTGTTCAGGGAGTCACATCCCCTCAACGCACCAGGCTCCATTCTTCCTGCAGCACGTTAACATTTTACTCTCTTCTCTCCCCACCCACCCGCTTCACTTTTGTCCTAAGAGGGCAATTAAGGAAACAAACGTTTTCCCCAAGATAAGCTGGCTGCCAGCTTTGCATACTAATGCAATGCCAAGTGGTTACAAATAGTGAGTGCTCTAATTACCGGCACTGTTTTCAATCAGAAATTGCTCAATTTCCCCGGATGAGGTCTCCATGGCTGGAGAAAAAAAACACAACCTGACAGAGGCAAGAGGCAATCATCTCTATGTGGAGTGTGGCTGCCTATGTGTTTATGTTCATGTGCCCACATGTGTGCACGTGTGTTGGTGCAAATAAGCTCATCAGCCTCCGTGTGTAGAGACCCCGGCACGACCCTCTCTATCACTGCTGCCCTTGACAAGTCAAGAAATGGATCCTGTCAGCCTCTACAGCATTTAGCACCACAATTATCCCCTTTCACAGCCCGGCTTTATTAAAGTAAACCACACCAGGCAGTAGTTGCCACTCAGTGATGAGCACAATGTGGTGCACCATCTCTGGGTGAGCAATTTGATGCAATTGTGTTGCCGTGTGATCATCAGTGCAAATCAGGGCCTGCTCATTTATTAAGCAATTTCTGTTGGAGAAAATTAGAAGGAAGGCCCTTTTAATTTGGCAGGCGAGAGTAATACCTCTAAAAGCAACAATAATGGATAATGTGGCTGACATCAAACAAAAAAGAGAGATTTGAGTGAGTTTAGACTGCAGGACTCATCAGCCCATCAGGGAGGGGGCAACTATTCTGAGAGGAATGGCCATCCTCATATGGTCACCATGAGTAGGTGGCAGCACAGACCAAAGTGACAAGGAATCACTCCCTGGGTGTGAGAATGAGTCACTCCATAGGATGCACATGCAGGACCCATCCGCTGGCCTTAACTGACCTTTAGCTCTGACAGTGGCTAATGGAGGGCTGGCCCTCGATCAATGCACCGAGAGACTGGGCTCCCCATCCCTGCCCTTTCACCAGGCCAGGAAGGGAGGGATACTGCCAGACGCCATGCCGCTGAGCCATCGACCCTGCCACTTTCCCATCCTGTGGGTGACAGCTGCAGTGCCAATGAGTCTGGGGACGCCACGCTGCCCTGCAATGCAGGAAGGACAGCCAGCAATCTTAGCTCTGTGGTGGTGGAAGGGAAAGTTACTGATGATCTGAATGTCAGATCCATGTAAATAACCCAAGCAAACATTTGGGTGTAGTGTAGATGTTGATAGGACAACCTGCACCAGTATGGAAAACCTGTACAATGTGATAAAACCTGTTCATCCCGAGCTTCTGTGTAGAAGTTTGTGCTTGGGTGAAATATGTTTATAGCTCAAAACTTTTTCTAAAGTGGTTTCAATATAAGTTTCTCCATTGCCATTATAAAGAGTTGTTATATATGTAGTGCTTGTTAGTGTTGGTATTGAACCTACATGTCATATAAACAAAATAGACTGCCATCTATCAAATGTATGCTTTGACAGCTGCGTCTTTAAAAACAGATTCCACTTAATTGCTTTAATTTCAGCTCAATAGAGTTCGACAAAAAGCTGAGAACTCTTGTAACCTTTTGTCTGTAAAAAGTTTAAGTCACATCAATAAAGCCTGGCTCCTGCATAACGCTTGTCAAATGTTGAAAGTTGTGTTTGCATTCTGAGTGTTCTTGGCATTCATGGTGCACTTAAAATGTTACCGTAGGGAATATACTTTCTAATGCAGCATTATATTGCTAAGATGTGCCTGATGTTATGCTTGGCGGTGCACTTTGTAAACCAGATGGTGCTACCACTGTATATCTTTTAGCAGAGCATCCTTTTTTTCAACAGGCAATGGTTGTATAAAAACACAAAACAACATTTAATATGCATTTTAATTACATAGACTTCAATTCAAACTTATAAAGATATTCAAAACAGCAGCAGATAAAACATTCATTCCATATGGAGAAAGAAGAGAAAGCATCCAAGAGGTTTAGCACAGATTGTTCTTTTTATTATCATTAACAGTGATGTGATTCTGAAGCCCCCTATGACCTCCTCACAGCAGCACCTCATCTAAGAAGTCATTCATTAGAACAAGCAGAAGGCAGGCAGAAAGACAGTCGAAAAAAGACATGGGGAGAGAGAGCAGAGTGTAAAATAAATTAGATTGTTCTTGTTAGACGAAGCACTTTGAGAAGCGAGCATCAGACATTCAAAGGATATCAATAGTGCGGTATTTGGAGATGAAGATGTGGAGCCTATGATCCAGTTGTTGGTCTT